CATCTCTTTCAGGGTGATATGCTATATTTGATGCTACTTTTTGTTTTTCACTAGTTTCCAATTTTAGCTGCAATATGAGAACATAATCATGTTGATTGCGTTGATTCTGTTAATTTGCAGCTATTGTATAAATGGACTACGATGATTTTGCTCTTTAAAATGACCAAATCTTCATTTGTAGGGCTTTGACCGAGAAGGAAAGCTACGAGCTATTTGTGGTGGGGGCAGATATGACCGGTTATTCTCAACTTTCGGCGCTGATGACATTCCTGCTTGTGGCTTTGGGTTTGGTGATGCAGTCATAGTGGAAGTGAGTTTCAATGTTTCCACCAGCGAACAGAATAAGAAAGAAACATCTTCTGTGTTATAATAAATTTTTCCAGGCTGAATCTCTAACACCCTTTGAAGTTTAGGATTAGTTATGGAAAAGCAAAGTGTGGAAAACTAATGCAATATTTGATAGGTGGAAAAGTGTTTTCTAGAAAGAAAATGAGAAATGCACCTATCCTATTTTCTTTCTAGGTATTTTCCTCATTTCTTTTTCTAAAAAGCTCTTTTCTGTTTACCAAATAACTGCTAAATAATTATTGAGGCAGTTTATTTTCTAAAATATATCGTGCCTCAGAAAGCTTTTATTTTGATGCTTGATTTCTTCCTTCATTTATTGTTTGATTTATTTCAACTGCAAAATATCTATATTTGGTTTCTTGTCAGTTTACTAGTTATATAATTCTTTCTTTCCCGGACCATGTTCTACTGTTGATTGTAAATCCATTTTTTATTCATCATATTCAGTCTTTGCTGTTAGCTTTATGTTCAAATTAGCGTTCACTCTCCTGTGCGTTGCACTAAAGCACCTCCTTATAGATTTTATTTGCTTATGTCTCACTTGTTTTTACATAAACAACTTCGCAGTTTTAGTTATGCATTCCAACTATTGATTGATTTCGCCAATTCTGGTTTTTTTTTTTTTTTTAAAGATTTCGTCAATAGTGAAAGAGGACATGATCCTTGTAGGAGTTTTCAGACGACAAAGGAAACTCCGTGGCAGTGTTATTATATGGAGCCACTCTATCTGGCTTACTACTTTCTTCCACATGTAATGAAAGCTGACTTCCATGTTAGAGCCAATTAATGTTGCTGCTAATTGATCTCTTGTTTTTAATCCCACCGTTTTTGTTTTCTTTTATTTCTGCTTTTGCTTGACCACCTTTTTTTTTTTCTTTGGTGGGGATGGGGATGGGGATGGGGATGGTTGGTTTTATATTGAAGTTGCTTAGAGAGAAGGGTCTTCTACCTGACCTCAGCTTGCAAATAGAGAACATCGTGTGTGCCCTGGACGTTGATCTTCAAGGAGCTGCTGCTACTGTTGCTCGGATTCTTAGGGATAAAGGGCAGAGCGTTGACTTGGTTTTGGAGAATAAGCCACTTAAATGGTACAAAATTTGTGCTACTTATAGTTTTCTCCTTTTCTTGTTTTTCTAAGCTGGCTTTCTTTGTAAGTGAACTAATTTTCTCATCTGAAATTTATTTTTCCCCATTGATATAAAAACAGGGTTTTCAAGCGAGCAAGCCGAATAAATGCTCAGCGGCTGATATTAGTGGGGAGTTCTGAGTGGCAAAGGGGTATGGTTGGCGTAAAAATTCTCTCTACAGGTGAACAGAACGAGGTTAAACTTGATGATCTAAATTAATTATAATTCGAAGACTCGAGTGTAACCTTTGTTGTAACTTTATTCATTTGACTTTATTTTTCCCACTATTCCATGCTTGTTAACCTGTAAATATATTTTTGAGTAGGCGACTGCGCGGGCACAGCCATGCATGTAGACATATAATCTCATTGAGATTTTAAATACTTGAATGTTATTGGGTTAAAATAATAATAATATTAAGAAAAAATTTATGTACTTAGTCTTATTTAAGGTACTTGTTTAGATATGTGTATTTTTTTATAGATTACTTAATTTATAACAAATTGTTATTATTAATATTATTTACATATTAAAATTCATATGTTTTGATTTGATTTTATAAAAATATATTAAGTATATAAAGTTAAATATGTAAGTCTTGCCTTAATATCAATTATTATTTTTAAATATATAAGTCTTATCAAAAACTTTTTGATTCCTGAATTTTAAAATAATTTTTTTTTATTAGCATGTGGCTTCCTATTTAGTATTATCCTTCAAATGAATTGTTCTGCCAGGTTTTGCTTAGTTCACAATTGTGGGAAGCATATTTATAAGATCCTAGATGTAGATTTATTTAAATTCAAGCTGATTCGCAACACATGCTTTCTTTGTCAAATTTAATCGTTTCAATATGACATACATTTGAAAATATTACGTTCATGACAAGAAATGTATACATATATATATATATATATATATAACATTTTTAAATATTAAAAGACCCTTTTAACGGAATTTACTAAAACATTTTTCGTGAATCCCCTGCCTAAATTCATATATTCCATTCATTAAAAAATATAAAATATTTTTAATAGAATTATACCTTCTAATAATGTAGTTATTTATGTTTAAATTAACTTTATCTTTATATTTATTTATTTATATTAAACTCCTTGCAATAAATATAAAGTCTTTCCATCAATAGAACGCTTTTAGAAAAAAAAAAAGTAATGATATTAAAAATACTTTATATTCTTAATATCTAACTTTTCAAAAAATATTTTATATTTTTTAATAGAAGGAGTATAAATTTTAAAACCATGGTAAATTTTAAAATTCAAGCTGAATAGTTTGAAGGTTAAATTATCATTAAAATATTAAATTAGCATATAGTTAATATATCTAATGATTTAAAATCTACATAACAAACTTGGAGAAATATTTAGGTAGACAGAGTGCTTCATATCATTATAGTCTGTCTAATTAAAATGCTCAAAATAATTTAAATAAAATTTTGTGTGACATTTTTTATATCAATTTTAGTCTTTTCATAGAGTTCACATTTGATTTCTTACTTTTTATCTTTCTACTAGTATTAATATCATAATTAATTTATATTTAATGACATCTAAATGTAATATTTTTATTGGACATACTATAAATAATGTGGTGTACCTGCTTAAGAATTTCTCACAAATTTGATATTGAAAGGTAAATATTATAGTCTGTGGTGAAATTAATTGACTTCTAATATTAATTAATTCATGAAATATTGGTTTATAAGATTTATTTTTTCAAAACATCTAAGTAACATTTATTGTTTTATTTTACATAAATTATTTAAATTTAAACAATAGAAAACCTTGTACATTTAGCTTTATACATTATTTAATATGCTTGTTTTTAATTAAATCAAGACATGTAGGTCTTTTATAAACTATTTATTTATAACAAATTCTTGTTATTAATACCATTAACACATTAAAATTTATTTGTTATAAGTATATTAAGTATATAAAACTTTCTTGCATGAACCAAGTACACCATGTCATCTATGGTTTGTCTAATAAAAACATACCATATATTGATTTAATCAAATAAAATATTGTATGTCATTTTTTTTAATGACTTCATTTTTTGAACAAAGTGCCTCTTTAATTTATTGACTTTCTATTCTATCATTATCAATAATAGAATCAATTTATATTTACAGCCATACGGTATATTATATTTTTATTGGACAGACCATAAATGAAATGATTTATCTAATCAAACTGATTTAAATTTAAACAGTATATGATAAATAGGAGAAATTTTTAGATAAATCGTGTGTAACAAATTTGATTTGTCTAATTAGAATGTCTCAATGCATATAAATAAAATTTTATATGATATTATTTTAATTAATTTTATTCTTATAAGAAAATAGATATTTAATTTTTAGCTTTTATTTTTTTATCATCATTAATATTATAATCAATTTATATTTGACATTTTCTAAATATCATATTTTTATTAAATAAATTATAATTAATGTGTTATACACATTCCATCTAACAATTCCTTACATGGTTATCTTTAAAAGCTCATGAATTTTAGGTAAAAAAGAAAAAGAAAAAGGTCACAGATGTGAGAGATCTAGTTAATAGTTGCTCTCACTATTAAAAAATGGAAGGTATTTTTAAGGAATTAAATGTTAAAAATATAAGGCATTTTTAATCTTTTAAAGTGTAATCATTGTCTTTTTTTAAACTGTCTCTATTAATAATAATTTTATATTTATTATAGGGTATTTAATAGGGATAAATATAGAAAGATAAGGTTAATTTGAAAGTAGATAACTACTTTATTGTGGATGAGATTCGATTAAAAATGTCTTGTATTTTTTAATGGAGAGAGTATGAGTTATCTGTTTTAATATTTGTTTTACAATTTAATTATTAATTATTTATAAAAAAGGACACCGCCTTAGGATAGGAAAGTCCTAGTTAGGGCTGTGTAAAAATTTTTCAATCCTATTCGACCTAGTCTAATTCAAGAAGATCCAGTCTTATTAAAAACTAGTCCTTTAGGATTAAAAAAGACTATGAATAAGAAATTATTTTTTCGCGTTGGACTGGATAAGAGATTAGACATCTGGACTACTTAATCTAATCTGATCCTATTAAATTTATTTACTATGATTATAATTAATTTACTAATTATTTATAATAATAAGTTAAAGCTATTAATAATTTAATAAGTTTAGTTACTCCCACGATCGCACACTTAAATTAATAATTTAATAATCTAGACCATTTAAACTGTAATTGAAATATTTTTTATTTAGACACTTGAACTATAATTAAAATATTTTTTATTAAAAATTATTATAAAATTTATTATGATTATAAGTATTTTTTATGAATTTATTAAATTAAAATAAATTATTGTTTCATAAAAAAATTAAATAAATACTGAATTAATAAAATTAATTTTTTAATTTTATAAATTAAATTTAATCTTATTAATATTTAAATTACTATTGGATTAAATTGAATTATGGGTTATATAAACCCAATCTTTTCATAAAAGAAATCAAAATTTGAGTTAGATCGAAATAAAATCCCGTCTAATCGTTGTGCAGCCCTAATCCCAGTTATGTGTTTCCTGTGAAGCTTCAATATCAGATGACAAAACCCTAGCTATTGCAGTGGGGCGCGATCCAGAACTCAAAACCTAACAATCAAGTCATCCGTGAGCACAGAAAGACAAATATGGGTGGAAAATGCCCACATAGAAGCGTAAAGAAGCGAAGATATTCTCACAAGACGGCTCGGCGCACCAAATTTCTTCTCAAGGATATCCTTCTTAATTATGTCTTTAACGCCTCTTTTGTGCTTTTCCTAGTTATCTGCGACTTACTCTCAGTTCTCGTTTTCTCTCTGATTCTATGTATTGTTTAGTTTTGAATGTGATTCTTGACTAGTTTATGATACGAGATGATATGGTTTTTGATGAGCTGAAGATGCCGGATGACGAGAAGAAGCCTTTACCCTTAGATGAAGATTTACCTGGGATGGGCCAGTTTTACTGCCTTCACTGCGAGTAATCTTGCTTATCATTGCACACTTTTTTTTTTTTGTTCTGTTTTTTCCCCGTTGGCTTCTTGAAGCAAGATAAAATGTTACTAGTTGGAATCACACAACTGACAACAAGTTTCATATTCATTTCTCTGCAGTCGATACTTCTCCAATGTGGCTGTGAGGGATGAGCATTTTAGGACCAAACGGCACAAGAAACGGTAGGCTACTTAGTTTACTAATGTGTTTTTGCTTCCTTGGTTGCTCATTCAGTCATTCCTTTTTAGCTTTTCCTCATTGTTTGTTCAATATTTGATGAATACTTGCTTGGGTTGATAGTGGTCCGTCTAAGTTTTGAGGCTGCTACTGCTTTGAAGCTGTCTATATTAGGTTTCGGATATTTGGCAAACAAAATTGCAAGAACTGCTATCTTGCATATGCTGTTCGACAAATAAAAAAATTGTACTAGGCAACATCCTGCATAGGCTGTCGATGCTGATTCCATAGGTTCCAATGCCAATTCAATATTCTTTGTCAATAGAAAGGGAGAGCCTATCTCAAAATGCTCCTAAAAAATTTATAAAGCCCACTTATTTTGCAAGGTTCCCTCATGTGAGACTCATAATAACACTACCTCATCAAGAGTGACATCTCTGCTGTCTCCACTCCACAACACTTCACATGACTTCTTATCAGTTAAAAACTTTCTTGGACAGTTTCCTTTGTGACATCCACCTCTTAATGAAAGTACCAATGTTATTAATACAAGTCCAAAAACGAGCTTATCTCTGCCTATTAGGAGGAAGAGCCCTTGGGTTTATAAACCTTACAACACATCCATTAGCCATGTATGAATTTGAGCTATAAATTTCAACGATTCTAAGTTCAGTTTGGTATTCTACTCACATTTCACGCCCTAGGAAATTTTTGGAAGCCATTATTATCGTAGTGCAATCAACATCAATGTCGAACTTCACCGAGCTGTTCTTATCAAATGTACGTTAGTTTTGATGGGCTGATTGGGTATTGATTTTAATACGACATATTCTTTATGCAGTGTAAAACAAATGATGGGACCTGCGCCACATACTCAACTTGATGCCGAATTAGCTGCAGGGATGGGTATCCCAGATAATGGCCCAAAGTTAATGTCGATGTGATTGGGTTTTACTGAAGATTTTTGTTTGAGATTGATGTGGTTTTTTTGGTGGAAGATATGAAGTTTTACTCCCCTCGCTCCACCTAGTCTTACAAAATCAATTTTACAGTTTTTAATTTTTTTAAATTCAATCCGTCTATACTTTTCCAGCTCAATTTTATCTGCTAGAGAGCAACGTAGATCTCCGTTCTCCATTTGCGCGCGCTCTTCTTTTTTTTTTCAAATTTTTATCTGCTGTCTTTAATTTTATCATGGTAAGTTCAACGTGGGAGGAAATTTTCCGCTCATGTGGTTTTGGTTCGTTCAGCCAGCGTCATTCTGTTTATTGCGGCGTTTGGTTCTTTCCATCTCGCCAAGATCTCCACAATCAGCTGTATCCATTAGTTGTCTTTTGTTGTTTGGTTAGCTGGCCTTCCATTCTGAAATAAAAGGGGATAGTTTAGAATGATGGACTAAAAGGCTTGTCAACTTGTAACATTGCTATGCTCGAGTTACACTGGTACAAGCAGTAGAGTAGAAAGCTTAGAAATACGAACAAAAATATTGTCGCTTGGAGAGGATCAAGCCCCGCAATTATGAGAGCCAGTTTACTAATATTTACATCGATTCGTCTACTCGCTTTATTTTTCCTTTTAAACAAAACACGCTGTGTCTCAAACCATACAAAATTCAAGGATCCGGGATCAAAATCATGATGCTTATTATACATGTCGAGAGTCCAGAATTTTTGCCCTACAAGGGGCTGCTCTGACGAGCTTACTCGTCCTTATCGCGTGTCGGTGCTGAGAACACAGGATTATCCACAGCCAAGATTTACATTCCGTTGAGCTGTGAATGTGCCTACCCAGCCATCGTTATCGCATCGATCAAGGCGTCTCTACACACGATTGCTTTTACATTCACCGTTCCGCGTATCCCAAGCATCAAGACCCCGGTGTTCCATTTTTAAATCCTGAAAACGATGGCAGCCGTTATTTAGTCCTAAGATACTCCATAACTAGAAAGAAAAGGGAGGAATGAGCTGACAGACCTGCTACTACAGCCTGCTGTCTTTTGGCAGCATTACCAATCATAAACGGTAAAAACAGATCTCTAGCTGGTCCAGCTGACCACCAATCAACAAGCCACAGAAATAGCATCATCCGAGTCTTCTTTTAACTGAAAACCAGAGGGATTCGCTGACGGAATCTTCCAGGGCAAGCAGAATAACAATTGAAATTCATAGTAGCTGTTAAGCATACCAATTTAAGATGATTGTGCAAAGAACTATATAACATCTTCTTCAGCTTGTCGCATTGATCTACCATGTGACCCATTTTGATCAACTCCTCAAGTTGATACAGTAGTCGCTCAATTGTGGTGTATGGGAACCAAACCGCGAATGGCTTTTTCCGTCTGATTATATCTGCTGGTCTCTGCAAAAAAATTGATGCAACAGGCCATTGTTACTACGGCTTCTTCAAGCACGGGGATATCCAGTGTATGGTGGTAACAAATAACTCATCATCCAGTGCTGTAATCTGTAAATAACCCTTTGGGCCAAGACTACAAGAAAATCATTATTGCATCATAGAGCCCAAAATTCAGTAGAGCCCACAAAAAATACAAGGTTACAAATCGTTAACATAGTGCAAATGTAGCAAGATTTAGACAAGGTTAGCCTGTGAAGAAATATTAACGTGTTTATGTCATCAAGTGCCAGGACTAGACGAAAAATTTCGTCAAGTAAAAATATGTTATAATGGGGGTAGAGATAAATGATCTTTGTTCCCAAAGAAAATTTGGTCACAAACTAACCACTCTTATTTTCTAAACAAGGAAATGATACCAGCAGAATGCACAAATATTAGAATGAACATGACAAATTCAACCCAGAACACGAAGTAAATTACCATTGATGTAAATGATTCTAAGAACTCCAGCAAGAGATTAGTGGCTTCTGTATATCGACCATAGTTAACATAAAGTTGAAATAAAGATGCAGGATTTGATTCTCGACCAGCCATTCCCCAGATCTTTTCTCTTTGACCCTCCTGCCACAACTCATTTAAATAATACCAGATTGGCAATTCAAAACGCTGTTAGATGATGATAAGAACCAACAAAGATTAAACCCTCCTTAAGCAAATGTTGAGGCAAGATAAGCATTACATAGAGAAATATGAGAGATCAGTAGGGTGTAATTAATATTTTAAGTCACAATTCTAGAAGAGTTTCACCATGAAGTTCAAATTTCTTCATTTATTTCAAACATAATAAATGCAATTTATAAGATAAGCAGGCCAGAAGGTTCAGCCAATCGCCCTCTAAGGAAACAAACATGAAGGAAAAAAGACACGTAAAGCAGGGATAAAAATGCATTTGACTTCAGGCTATTAACAAACAAAAACCTATAGAATCAAAGGGGATTGAGCCTAGAGAAAGGGTTAATCTCTCACAATATAATAAATCAAGGTTCGAATTCTTCCTGAGAGATGTGCCCACATTTAGTGCCCGACTATATCTCAAATAAGATTGCCTCCAATATAGGAGGACATCTATAAGCAATCAAAAAAAAACTATGGGATTTTTATGAAGAAATTGTAGGCATTTGACTTCAGCCTATAAACCACAACCAAATCAAATGATCCAAGTAGAGCATTCCAGATAGCTTCAGGTTTAGAAATTATCTAATTTTGTTTCGAGGAGCCAGATCTCAATTCAAACAGGCATCAGTGCACGAATGAACAGCACCTAAAAACTGCAACTTCAGGCAAGATATTACCTTGAACAATTGAACCAGCCAACGAGGCAAATCAATCTGAGAATCTGCCTGAAGAAGAGTTTCAGCAACAATAACGGGTAGCCTCTCATGAAATTCACAATATTTTACCTGCAATGTGGGAACAGTTCCATGAGAGTTAAACCAGGGAGAAATATACCTGCACAGAGAAAAAGCAGTTTCCCCAATTTATTGGAAACCATAAAATCATTTTGAAAGCCGAACTGATTATCAATGCACAAGATATATAATTGGCAGTAGCTTAATGAAAAGTTTTCCTATCCTCCCCTTAGCTGACTGATTGATTGACAAATTAATTTTGGGTCAATAAACATTAAAAGCTTGCAGAAGATACTAACAAGGTAAAGCTCCAGAGTTGCCCAATGGCTATTCCTGTCAGGTTGTGAGGCTGTAGAAACTGTAAGAGGTGAACCATGGACAACCATTTCAAGCTTGGACGATGTCAACAAATTACTGCGTGGCCTGTAATCATTAAAAAATTCTCAAGTTATGCGAGTCATAATATTTACTGAAAATAGTCTAGGTAAAAACTTTGGACATGTAAACATATTTCATCAATGCAGAATGAAAACTGAAATAAAAAAATAAATGTTAAGCAATACGAAATCTTACTCAATCCAAGTGGATTCTACTTTATCAAGACAGCATCTCAAAGATATAGAAGAGAAAACTCTTTCAAGCTCCCTAACCAGAGTCCCAGTCACACATACAAGGACACCATAAACATAGATTACAAAAATAAATAAACAATTAAAATATCAATAAAATAACTATTAGCAATCAACTGCAACTCAAGTGTGGGATGTAAACCTCTTCAGTCCTGAGCCCTTGAAAAATCTGAGAAGAATTGTGAAGGCCATATCATATAAATAGTTTTGGACAAGGAGATCAGCCAAATCTGACAGGGCTCCTTCTTTACCTTTAAAAGAGAAGGAGAAACAAATACTAAAAATTCTGTAAAACAAAACAAATTCTATCGAAACTTAACATCAATCCCTCAAAAATGGTCAGATATTTCACAAGAATTTATAGAGAATGAGCGAATGAGAGTTACCAGTATATATCCACTTAACATTTACCAGCGACAGCATGTATTCTGCTGACGTTAGCACAAACTCATGATCAAGTTTTTCAAGATCAACAGAAGATTGCCAGCTTTGACACTCAGTATCATTTTCAGCAGATACTGCATAACAACACTATCATCTCAAAACAATATGAAGGCAAAAACGGAAATCATGAATGGTGTCCAATAGTGATATAGGATAAGAAACCTCTCTCCCCCTCCTGGTCCCTTTCATTCCGCTAAAAATATAAAGCAGAATTCAAACATCTTAAAATAAATCATGTCAAATTTAATAACCAGCAGCATTAGTCTCAGGATCTGTAATACTTACAATCTACGTCTACAGTTCTTCGAGCCTTTTTACTTGGATACTGTTCACTCATAAGAGAACTTCCATCAGCTGGTGGATCAATCCAGGCATGTGCTGGATGAACAAGATGCAAGGCATTAATAGCAGCAGAGATTGCATTCAGCCTCTCTTGCAATATCAATGAAGAGCCATGATAATCTTTTAGAGCCACTTCAGTCTTCAAACGAGCTGAATAGAGGTACATGTAATTCGCTGCTCGGCGCCAGTTATGTTGATGCATTTGGAATGTATAAAGCAACTTGTACAAGTTTGGCTTTGCTGATATATCTGATCTTTCAGCCTATATCCACAACAAAATTCTAAATATTAACTCAGAAACTATAATTTTTACAGCACTCAACCTACTCAGTCAAGGTCTATACCTTCCAAACAAGCTCCTGCTCTACCTTCTCCATTAAACCAGTGAGGGGAAGCTTATTACTACAAAGAATCTACAAATACAAAATAAGTATTAAGAGCACAGGGAAATTCAAATCGATGCCTGTGAACTATCTACAAAATTTCCAGGGGGAGGGGGGACAGCTCAAGCAGAATGATTAGACAAAAAGTTACAATGCTTCACAAATTAAACCTAGTACAACATTTAAGCTACTTTTCACTAGAAACTAGAAAAATTTTAGTAAAAATTTTAGTAAACAAAGTTAATGGATTTTTTGGTCATACAAACAAATTTAACAATCCTTATCCCACTAGGTGAGATCGACTATAGAGTTTGAATAACGCCATTGTGCTTTATCATTATTCAAACTTCTAGAAATATTGTTATACAAGAGGTCTCATTCAACAACTTCCATAAGAGTTTTTTTTTTTTTTTTTGGTACCTCACATGGCCCTCTCTATACATGGCCAAACCATCTCAAATAACTTTCTACCATCTTCCTCTCAATAGATGCCACACTCACTTTTTCTCGTATATGCTCATTTCAGTAATTAGACCTAGAGCCAAATAAAAAAGGACAGTTGCACATAATTGGGA